TCCTTTAGGCCCCGCAGACCCCTCTGCACCCACAGCTTTTCTATTTAAGAACAAAATTCAACTCGACTTTCATTCACACCGTAAATTACCGAAGGCTTTCATTTGCATGCAGGCCGAATGTTTAAACGGATGAATATCAGCTGAAACAATAACGTCTGATGAACTTAAAAGTCATGCCTTAGTGACATTTGTAAGCTGAACTGTTGGTAAACCTTTTAAAAATTGTGTTTCCCCTCCATTATCAATATTTAATACAACACTGACATATGATGATGTGTATTTCTTGTAACAGCAGACGAGCCTAATTTATGGGGTTGTTGCCTGGTTACCTGCCGTTATGTATGTGCTCTTTGCATTTTTTTTTTTTCTTTTTGACAGCATTTCCTCGTGTAACTCAATCTGCAAAATCTGTGAAGGTTAAAATAGATGTTGTAAGCCATTTTGACACCACCTATTATGACAACATAAACTGTACTGGCAGCAGAAGTCTGTTCCAGCAGCGCACATCGGTCACTTAAGCAAGACATTAGGAAATAACTTGGATCCGATGACAAAGATTTATAACTGAAGTAACCACGGTGGGTCTGGCAGCTTTGCTTTTGTGTTTTATTGTGCTATACAGTACCACCGTGAGCTGTCTTTCTTTTTTTTTTTCTAGTTTCAGGTATAATTTTTCAGCTGAAGTTTCAAACATCTTCCCATCGTGCACGTCAGTCTGTGGCTTCTGAATGCAGCCAATCCCACAAAGTCCTCAAAGGACAAATTATGGAAACAGATGCAATTAGTGGCTGATTTATATATTGTTGTAGGACCTTAGAGACTAATTAAAGGCCTTTGTGCGCTTGTCTGTTGGATACATGCTAATTTAAAGCCTTTTGACTGAGATTCACTGGAACAAGTCGGAAATTCATGCGTCTCAATTTGCACCAGCCCGCTGCAATAAAGAACATGCCGCGTAGTTGTTCAAATGGGAACTTGTAAACACGCTCCGCAATCTTCCAATCCCTGCATCATTAGCGTAAACTCCGTAGGATACTAAAAAAGAAGCGCTTTCCTCTTATTTGATAGAGTTGTGGGAGGTCTTGTGCATTAAGCCTTGCTATTGTGCTTATAGCAGATTTCTGAAAAGGGCAAAGCAAATTATCTGCAGGATTTTCCTCCCGGGGAGCAGGTTTCTCCCTGTTTATTAAATTTGTTAGAGTGCTTCTGAGCAATGCACATTTTATCCTCTTAACAGTCAAATTACTATATACTCCAGCAATTACTTAATGTACTCTAATGAGATTTCCCCATGAAATGGAAGGATTCATTTATTTTAATGTGACGCATTCCACCGGGCAGGTTTATGCATCACGTCCCCCCCCTCGCTACCCAGGGAGGCTTTGAGTCATAAATAGTAAGATGAGCATAGTTTCCAGAATTGCCGCTTCTGCCCACAGCAACAAAGGTATATGATTCACTGATCCAGGCACTCGGGGTCTGTTCAGGGGCATCACCTGGTCACAGGTGCTATTTCCAGCTCAGCTCTCTGCAACCAGTTATTCTCTAGGATTAGTGAGGTAATACCTGGCTGTCAGGCGGTGTTTGTGTGATAGGGCGCGGAAGTGCAAAAATCCAAAACACAAATAACACAGGAGAACGCGACAATAAAATAAAACATACGCTTTCTGTCCGTTTGGTTATTATATACGTACAGAAATACATGAACGCTTGATGTATTGTGTGATACAGCGAGCAATTTAAAAAGACTAAAATAAAATAAACTATTCAGATTCTCCCACTGAGGCCAAGCAAAGTCAGGATCCAGCTCATGTCCTGTAACAGAATTAGACAACTATTAAAATCAAAGTAGGATTAATGGGGAAGTCCATCAAGGCTTCAGCTTGCTTTCTTCTTCATTATGTCATCGCAAACTAGATATTTTAAGAAGCTTGTTTAGTTCCAAGAAGGGAATGGCACAGATATGAATCGAACCAACCAGACACATTGTGTGCAGAGCAAAAAAAATGTAAACAAACTAACGTCCAATGATAGAAGCATAAGGGACTAAAGCATTAGGCACTTCAAAAATGCTCCAGAAAACTAACCAAAAATGTCATTCAGTTCACCTGACAGAATTGGAGCCCAAACAGAAATTAGAACCGAAAACAACAACAAAAAGCTTAAACATGTATTTGCAGGCAGCAGAAATAACTTTAAAGACTTCATTTAGAAGTATGTGATGCCAGAGCGGAGAAAAAAAAAAAAACTGTTTTGAGAGGTTGTCTCTATAGCTCAAATGATGGCCATAAAAGTTAAACTTAAGTACAGACATTTGTAACTTTAGATGACAGTGAACATTTTTTTTTTTTTCATGCCCAGAATTGACAGAAGATGGCAGAGACATTTCTGCTTTGTTACTGAAACAGATAATGTGATGAGAGTGGAGGTGGAGGAGCAAGTCTCTCCATAAGCTGATGTTCCTGCAGGCGTCTTTTAAGAAGCTGTCTGAACTGTCTTCTTGAAGGCTATAGCCGACTTACAGAGGGACTCTGCTGTCTTATATCTGACAGTACATGTGGTGTTTGTTACTTTACCAATTACATACAAATTGTGGACTATTTTAGCATTTAGACGGGAGC